AATTTCCGCCCGGTGCTATTTAATTTCCGCTAACAAACCGGGCAGCTATGCTTATAAATAATTTCAATTAATTAAGTACACAGCGCGATGGGAGACAAGAAATGCTTGAATGCGCCATCATATTTGTAACTTAAACTTTCATCGACTTACTTTACCTCTTTCTTGCTCTTCCCCTTTCCCCTTCCACCTTCTCTGACTCCTTAATAATTTCTTTTCTGCCCTCTTGGGTGCCACATCTCCCCAACTACAGCCAAAGCGCTGCGCATGCTGCACAGGTCTACCAGGTAACACGTTCCGGGCACGAGCATTGCGATGTAACCGAAGGTGTGCTCCTGGATATTACGCCTCTGGTGGTCGATGGAAGGAAGCTGGTTACGTTGTATGATAAGGACCTCACTGAGGGAGTTAACTTGTTAATTGGTAGGTAGACTACGCCTCAAAATGTTCATTAATGAGCACTGGGGATACTCTTGCAATGCGCAGTCGAATACATTTACAATTTAATTTGGTTGAGTTACCCGGCACGCACATGATGTCACAAGCTTTAATAAAAGAATATGTCTATTTGCTTGAATCCATTAGAATTTTAAGCATTGTCAAATATTTTTTCTAACTTTGTTAGAGCATCAAAGCTGCGCCGTCTCCGTGCCTTTTAGGTTTTGTTATTTAACTTTTTCGTTGTCTTTAGGGACATTTTTTTCGCCTAGACCGACTTTAATTAATTTCACGACCTTTTTTTTTTTTGGTTTAATAGTGGTGTCCGAGCTGTGGGGAGCGCAATGTGTGCGCCTAAAGGTGACCACAAAAACCGACAATTGCGGCGACAGCGCCGATTGCTCCGGCAAGGGCGTGTGCTACTCGAACGGGGTCATGGAGGAGTACGAGTGTCAGTGCTGCAGCGGTTTTGCAGGTCCCCATTGCGAGGAAATTGATGCCTGCAATCCCAGTCCGTGCACCAACAATGGCATTTGCGTGGATCTCTCCCAGGGCCACGAGGGCAACTCGTATCAGTGCTTGTGTCCATACGGTAAGGTCATTAATGTGCGGCCATTTGCCCTTTTTCCTGTAAGCTAATCTTGCTAATAACCCCCTTGTGTCGCAACGATGCAGGCTATGCGGGCAAAAACTGTCAATACGAATCGGATCTCTGCAATCCGGCTGAGTGCATGAATGGCGGCAGCTGCCTGGGAAACTCGACGCACTTTCGGTAAGTGAACATTGTCTGGCCCACAGATCCCTTGTGACGGTAGCTTAAGCCAGCTAAGTGTTGTCTATCGTTCGATTTATTTGCAAACACTTTTCGGTGTACGCCCAAGCAAGAGTGCTCGACGAGCATATACCCTACAACTCTGTCATACTAACACTTTTTACCTCTTGCAGCTGTGACTGCTCTCCCGGATACACGGGTCAACTCTGCCAACACAGCCTAAACGAATGCGAATCCTCGCCCTGTGTGCATGGCATTTGTGTAGATCAAGAGGATGGTTTTCGCTGCTTCTGCCAGCCAGGTAAGTGATCAAAGAGACATCGTCTAGTCTATCTTGAGTTTATTTTAATAGAGGATATACCTCTTGCTGTCCGTCCGTGAAACTTGTAAGCCAAATTGCCAACAAATGTTGTCCAAATTTTATCCAAAGTTTCGAGACTCTAGATTAAATATGCTAGCGCTTCCTACTACAATTTGTTTAAGGCATTGCTCACAGGCTTATATTTTTGGTTTATTTGTATTAGCTGAAATTCCACTTATTTTCTTTTGGCTCAACTATGTCAGTGCGCATGCAAAATGTAAACAGAATGTAGCAATAAAATCTGCACTGAAGCTTATAAATTATTTCATTGGCACAAACACAATTTGCACAAATCAAACTCGACAACAATAAAAAAAGAAAAAGCAATGGGGCTCAGGTTTCCGAGCTGCCAATATCCATCCAGTTGGCTGAAATTTCCATTTCATTTATTTTGCACATTAACATTACCCCCAACAACACGCTCTACACCCCGGTTTGGCTCTACTTGCAGGCTTTGCTGGCGAGCTGTGCAACTTTGAATATAATGAATGTGAATCGAATCCGTGCCAAAACAGCGGCGAATGTATCGATCACATCGGCAGCTTTGAGTGTCGCTGTACGAAAGGTTATTCAGGCAACCGTTGCCAAATAAAGGTGAGTGTCAAGTAGAACAAATCAGATGACAGTCATCGACTGCGCAATGCGGCACTTTGCTACTCAAATCGTATAAGTGTGAATATTGCGTATTCTGTGCTCAGCTCTACACACATTTGAATATTAATAAACAGCATCTAGGTAAATACATACATCTCGAGTTATTGCGAAATCAGTCATCTAAATGATTCAGTCATTCAGGCAACTGAATGCTCACAGCCGGGCTGGCTTGTGGCCTTTTTGCCAGCTAGTAATAGCTATATGCAAAAACAAGTGGTACTCTGATGGATTGTTTGCCTTGCGTCCTTTTGAACGAAGCTTTAAGCCAAACAATACGTGATAGCATATATTTTAAATTGGTTTCACACATTTCGCAATTTCCATTCAAGATTAAATAACAATTCTTTGGAAATAATTTAAGCTTTTTATAGACGCGGCCCTTCGCCTTGCCATTTATTATAGTTCCTTTGTCAAACAAATATTTGCATAACAAAAATGCAAAATATTTAAAAAAATATGCACAACAACGTGTGATATGGTATTCTTATCAGCCTGTAGCTAGTTGTCAAGGCAAATAAATTGGCATATTATTGATTGGATTTGCCATGGCTAATACATGGTCCCACACATATGCCCATATCAATAACAGCCCAGTCGATGGGAGAATATCTAATGAAGTCCGGCTTTTCAATAAGCTGAGAGCTTGCCTTTTCTTATTGCCTTCGTCTGTTTTAGGTTGATTTCTGCGCCAATAAGCCGTGCCCCGAAGGACATCGTTGTATTGATCATGGAAATGATTTCAGCTGTGAATGCCCAGGAGGTCGCAACGGACCGGATTGTAATCAAATGCCACGAACGGTAAGTCATGATTTATGCACTCAGCTGGCGCCGACTGTTTTCCTGCACGGACCGGGGCCCAGCTGGAGGTGCATGCCAAAAAGCCCAAAATACCCACAATTTGCTGACAACGGGCTGCCCCCCATCCCAGCACATACCAATAGACACAGCCATGCTGAATGGAGGAATGCTCGGTTCAATGCAATTTTGTAATTGTCCCTGTTGTAAAATTCCAATGTATAATATTTGGAGATTATGTTCGTGTTCTGTGTACTTTATACCAATTTACTGATTCTAGATTGTTTACCAGATGCCAGATGCAATCGCTTTGATTAAACATAAGCCTGATGGGTTTCATTGTTTCTAATGTGACTCAAAGTTAGCTTTGTACAGAGTGCATAGAAACGTGTTAATCACAATTTCACCCAACACAATAATAATTTGGTTTTAAGTATGCCATTTATGGATCCATGGGCACCTATAATAGAATTAATAATTATTTAGTTTGTGTAAGATGTCTACAAACTGAATAATTTATATTTAAACCTAGCTGCCGCCCATTTCTTCCATATTTTGAACACTCTTTAGATTTATGTCGGAATATTGACAATATGAAGTAGAATCTGCAATTGGCCATTACAAAACCAACTCTATACCTTTTCGATATTCATGTTGCTTAAATTATAGCCGAGAAGTGCATTTATTATCCACTCGACCCAAAAATATAAATGCTTCTGAAAGGTTTCTGTATTTTGGCAACCAGAAGAAGAGTCTTGACGCTCCTGCCCCTGTTTGGGGTTATCTATTATCTGTCTATGCTTCAACGGAGGCAGAGAGAACTTTAATAGACCACAATTAAGTTTTGCCAAGCATTTTCATTACCGCCAACTATGTTAGCATCCCACTTGACAATATTTAATAAACGCTCAATGACTTGATAATTTTTCGTTGGCCAAATAGAACATAATAAAGTGTACATAAATTAGACGCAAGGGCTCCATAATTGAAGCTTTTCACGATGATGGACATGTTCTCCAACCGCGAGCGGAGCCAAAACCATCTCCAGTGAGTTTTCTGAGCCCGCAAAATTCCCACCGACAGACACGACGTCAGCATCAGCAACAGCCAGAAGGGAAGGGTAGCGGTAGCTGGAGGACCTGTTCACAAGCGAAGCCAGCTGCTGGTGGAGCCCGACTGCTGCTGACGCCAAAGTCAAAGTCAAAGCCAAAGCCAAAGCTGATGAAGGAGCTGGCGGTGTGGCCAGCCGCCGGCAAGTTAATTAGATTTTACTATGGCGCAAAGTTATGCGCGCGTATAATATTTAATATGCCAGTTGCACACACAGAACACCCAATTAATTGTTAGTTAGTAGTTAGTGCTGGGCAAACGTGTACATTAATGCGACTGATAAGAGCCAGCACCAATGCTAACCAATGCGATTACCTTTGCCAGTACTTTCAGCAGTGCAGCGCGAATCCGTGCACCCATGGCGGCACCTGCTGGTCCAGCGGGGACAGCTTTTACTGTGCCTGCCGACCTGGCTACACGGGCAAAATGTGCGAAGGTAAGTGCATTATTAACTCGCGCTAAAACCCGAATACCGAAATATATATGCAAAGCTGCCGATGCCGACTATCTAAGGGATGCAGGCAGGCAGGCGGGCAGGCGAATGCCAAGGAACTAACCATTTATATTCATTTGTGCCTGCAGATGAGTTTGTGGTCGAGACCGTCGTCAGCTCGAGTGAATTTATTGTCGACGATGCGAGCGCCAGAAATTTTAATGACAAAACTTTTGGTTCATCGGTTGTGCTTAAGAGTCCCATTGAATTGCATAATGCATATTTTGCGGCCGGGGTTCTGGCGGCCGCCATTTTCATCGTTGCCGTTGTGGTAAGTTAACACACACACACACACACACACGCACAACACACATTTCCTTACAAGGCAGGAGACCGGAGCGAACACGAAACAAGGGCTTGACCAATGGGGAAATTATAGTTTGCGGTTTTGGAAAGTCTGCGAGCTGGCATTGCATATTCATTTCCATGTTTCGAGTCGAGGGTTACTTTAACATGGCCGCAGCCAACTGTAGCCGTTCTTCCTCTTTTATTATTTTTATACCCTGAACCCATTAAAAATGGGTATAAGGGTATATTGTATTTGTGCGAAACCCAAATGTATGTAACAGGCAGAAGGAAGCATCTCCGACCCCATAAAGTATATATATATTCTTGATTAGGATCAATAGCCGAGTCGATTTAGCCATGTCCGTCTGTCTGTCCGTCCGTCCGTCCGTATGTATGAACGGATCTCAGAACCTATAAGAGCTAGAGACTTGAAATTTTAGATGTAGGTGCTCCTAGTTTCCCCGCAGATCGAGTTTGTTTCCGATAATCGATAACTTACTCCGTTTCCAAGCAATAAATGAAAATCGATATCGATATCCTGTTTTTTGGGCAATTTTGGTAAATAATAAGAGTCACCAAACTTGACACTTAGCTTCTATAATAGAATATATATATGCATTTGATGTTGGTTTGACCTCTAAATCAATTTGGCATCAAAAACTGGCAACCGTATTTTTGTTCAAAATTCATGTCCAAATTGTACCCTCAAATTACTTATATAGACATAAGTCCAAATTTCCCAGCCCCATAACTCGGTCAAATCTCATCCGATTTTCATAAGGGTTGGCTTTTTATTCATGGTTTGACCTCTAAATCAATTTGGCATCAAAAACTGGCAACAGATTTTTTTGGTCAAAATTCATGTTAAAATTGTACCCTCAAATATCCTATATAGACATAAATCAAAATTTCCCAGCCCCATAACTCGGTCAAATCTCATCCGATTTTCATAAGGGTTGGCTTTTTATTCATGGTTTGACCTCTAAATCAATTTGGCATCAAAACCTGGCAACAGTATTTTTGGTCAAAATTCATGTAAAAACTGTACCCTCAAATATCCTATATAGACATAAATCAAAATTTCCCAGCCCCATAACTCGGTCAAATCTCATCCGATTTTCATAAGGATTGGCTTTTTGTTCATGGTTTGACCTCTAAATCAATTTGGCATCAAAAACTGGCAACAGATTTTTTTGGTCAAAATTCATGTTAAAATTGTACCCTCAAATATCCTATATAGACATAAATCAAAATTTCCCAGCCCCATAACTCGGTCAAATCTCATCCGATTTTCATAAGGGTTGGCTTTTTATTCATGGTTTGACCTCTAAATCAATTTGGCATCAAAAACTGGCAACCGTATTTTTGGTCAAAATTCATGTCCAAATTGTACCCTCAAATATCCTATATAGACATAAATCAAAATTTCCCAGCCCCATAACTCGGTCAAATCTCATCCGATTTTCATAAGGTTTGGCTTTTTGTTCATGGTTTGACCTCTAAATCAATTTGGCATCAAAAACTGGCAAAAGATTTTTTTGGTCAAAATTCATGTAAAAACTGTACCCTCAAATATCCTATATAGACATAAATCAAAAATTCCCAGCCCCATAACTCGGTCAAATCTCATCCGATTTTCATAAGGTTTGGCTTTTTGATCATGGTTTGACCTCTAAATCAATTTGGCATCAAAAACTGGCAACCGTATTTTTGGTCGAAATTCATGTTAAAATTGTACCCTCAAATATCCTATATAGACATAAATCAAAATTTCCCAGCCCCATAACTCGGTCAAATCTCATCCGATTTTCAAAAGGTTTGGCTTTTTATTCATGGTTGGACCTCTTAATCAATTTGCCATCAAAAACTGGCAACCGTATTTTTGGTCAAAATTCATGTCCAAATTGTACCCTCAAATTACTTATATAGACATAAGTCCAAATTTCCCAGCCCCATATCTCGGTCAAATCTCATCCGATTTTCATAAGGATTGGCTTTTTGTTCATGGTTTGACCTCTAAATCAATTTGGCATCAAAAACTGGCAACAGATTTTTTTGGTCAAAATTCATGTTAAAATTGTACCCTCAAATATCCTATATAGACATAAATCAAAATTTCCCAGCCCCATAACTCGGTCAAATCTCATCCGATTTTCATAAGGTTTGGCTTTTTGATCATGGTTTGACCTCTAAATCAATTTGGCATCAAAAACTGGCAACCGTATTTTTGGTCAAAATTCATGTCCAAATTGTACCCTCAAATAGACATAAGTCCAAATTTCCCAGCCCTATAACTCGTCAAATCTCATCCGATTTTCATACGGATTGGCTTTTTGTTCATGGTTTGACCTCTTAATCAATTTGGCATCAAAACCTGGCAACAGTATTTTTGGTCAAAATTCATGTAAAAACTGTACCCTCAAATATCCTATACAGACATAAATCAAAATTTCCCAGCCCCATAACTCGGTCAAATCTCATCCGATTTTCATAAGGTTTGGCTTTTTGATCATGGTTTGACCTCTAAATCAATTTGGCATCAAAAACTGGCAACCGTATTTTTGGTCAAAATTCATGTCCAAATTGTACCCTCAAATATCCTATATAGACATAAATCAAAATTTCCCAGCCCCATAACTCGGTCAAATCTCATCCGATTTTCATAAGGTTTGGCTTTTTGATCATGGTTTGACCTCTAAATCAATTTGGCATCAAAAACTGGCAACCGTATTTTTGGTCAAAATTCATGTCCAAATTGTACCCTCAAATATCCTATATAGACATAAATCAAAATTTCCCAGCCCCATAACTCGGTCAAATCTCATCCGATTTTCATAAGGTTTGGCTTTTTGTTCATGGTTTGACCTCTAAATCAATTTGGCATCAAAAACTGGCAACAGATTTTTTTGGTCAAAATTCATGTTAAAATTGTACCCTCAAAATACTTATATTGACATAAGTCACAATTTCCCAGCCCCATAACTCGGTCAAATCTCATCCGATTTTCATAAGGTTTGGCTTTTTGTTCATGGTTTGACCTCTAAATCAATTTGGCATCAAAAACTGGCAACAGATTTTTTTTGGTCAAAATTCATGTTCAAATTGTACCCTCAAATATCCTATATAGACATAAATCAAAATTTCCCAGCCCCATAACTCGGTCAAATCTCATCCGATTTTCATAAGGTTTGGCTTTTTGATCATGGTTTGACCTCTAAATCAATTTGGCATCAAAAACTGGCAACCGTATTTTTGGTCAAAATTCATGTCCAAATTGTACCCTCAAATATCCTATATAGACATAAATCAAAATTTCCCAGCCCCATAACTCGGTCAAATCTCATCCGATTTTCATAAGGTTTGGCTTTTTGTTCATGGTTTGACCTCTAAATCAATTTGGCATCAAAAACTGGCAAAAGATTTTTTTGGTCAAAATTCATGTAAAAACTGTACCCTCAAATATCCTATATAGACATAAATCAAAAATTCCCAGCCCCATAACTCGGTCAAATCTCATCCGATTTTCATAAGGTTTGGCTTTTTGATCATGGTTTGACCTCTAAATCAATTTGGCATCAAAAACTGGCAACCGTATTTTTGGTCAAAATTCATGTCCAAATTGTACCCTCAAATTACTTATATAGACATAAATCAAAAATTCCCAGCCCCATAACTCGGTCAAATCTCATCCGATTTTCATAAGGTTTGGCTTTTTGATCATGGTTTCACCTCTAAATCAATTTGGCATCAAAAACTGGCAACCGTATTTTTGGTCAAAATTCATGTCCAAATTGTACCCTCAAATATCCTATATAGACATAAATCAAAATTTCCCAGCCCCATAACTCGGTCAAATCTCATCCGATTTTCATAAGGTTTGGCTTTTTGTTCATGGTTTGACCTCTTAATCAATTTGGCATCAAAACCTGGCAACAGATTTTTTTGGTCAAAATTCATGTTAAAATAGTACCCTCAAAATACTTATATAGACATAAGTCACAATTTCCCAGCCCCATAACTCGGTCAAATCTCATCCAATTTTCATAAGGTTTGGCTTTTTGTTCATGGTTTGACCTCTTAATCAATTTGGCATCAAAACCTGGCAACAGTATTTTTGGTCAAAATTCATGTAAAAACTGTACCCTCAAATATCCTATATAGACATAAATCAAAATTTCCCAGCCCCATAACTCGGTCAAATCTCATCCGATTTTCATAAGGTTTGGCTTTTTGATCATGGTTTGACCTCTAAATCAATTTGTCATCAAAAACTGGCAACCGTATTTTTGGTCAAAATTCATGTCCAAATTGTACCCTCAAATATCCTATATAGACATAAATCAAAATTTCCCAGCCCCATAACTCGGTCAAATCTCATCCGATTTTCATAAGGTTTGGCTTTTTGATCATGGTTTCACCTCTAAATCAATTTGGCATCAAAAACTGGCAACCGTATTTTTGGTCAAAATTCATGTCCAAATTGTACCCTCAAATATCCTATCTAGACATAAATCAAAATTTCCCAGCCCCATAACTCGGTCAAATCTCATCCGATTTTCATAAGGTTTGGCTTTTTGTTCATGGTTTGACCTCTAAATCAATTTGGCATCAAAAACTGGCAACAGATTTTTTTGGTCAAAATTCATGTTAAAATTGTACCCTCAAAATACTTATATAGACATAAGTCACAATTTCCCAGCCCCATAACTCGGTCAAATCTCATCCGATTTTCATAAGGTTTGGCTTTTTATACCCTGAACCCATTAAAAATGGGTACTTGATGTTGGAAGAAGAGGATTCAGGGTATCCCTTAGTCGGGAGCTCCCGACTAGAACCTTTTACTTGTTTTATTTTTACCAAGTTCAATCGAGCGGCAAGTTTGAAGCGTATTCAAATTTATGCGCATAATATATATATATATATATTTGTATACATACAGGTTTTTTCGCTAGGCATGCTTGAGGCAAGTATCAAGAGCACTTAGTTTTTAATTTATATCAAGCCCAGCTCGCCATCTAATGAACCCTCTCAGGAATGCAGGCCTACATAGCGAAACCTGCCGTTGGAGTGGTTGCTTATTTTTCAATAGCACTTTACAGAGTAGTTAGTAATTAATTTAATACTACTAAAGTTAAGCATGGATATTTAGGAAAGCGGTTCAAATTGAAAAATGGAAAGGACTTAGGGTTAGGGAGGGCCCCCCCCCCCCTTTCTCTCTCTCACATTAACTTGTGGTGCTATAGATTTTTGAGAGTATTATAGTTTTTTTTGATGCAATGTGTAAGACACAGCAGGAGATATAGTCACTACCGCCAGTCTGTTCCATGCACACTAATTTCCCAGCTTAAAGCTATTCTATTGAATCTTTTCATAGATTCGTCTTTTTGTTGCAGTATTTCTGTGTTATATATACTATAGGAATAATCGGTAAAAAATGAAGTTCTTTTTTGTTTATCAAGATATCTAAGCTAAATCAAAATCGGTTGTCTCACAAATCTGCAAAGCTATTAATATTCAAGGGTACTTAATCTTCTGTGTGTTCAACTTTGTGACATACTGTAGTTATGAATTCGAAAAGCTTTTCCTAAATCTTTCAAACACTTAAGATAACTCTAATACACTTGTGGGATGAGGGATGAGATCTATGAGTACGATTTGACAATTTTCTTTGTTCTGCTTTGTACTTTTGTCAACCAGGTCACAATATGCCACTGCAATGTCAATCAAACGTATCGCAAGTTCTCCACGCGTTCCACTTCATTTATTCCTATTTTGGGCTTTAGTCGACGACCCAAGATGCAAGGAGCACTCAACAAACATTGGCTAAGTGGCAAAGTTCTCAATGATCCCACTGCAGCAGCACAGCGTGACCTAACCTCTGCGGCAGCCGGCAATCCGGCACAGTCAACGCGTCATTTGTCCTCCAGGCCAAATAGCAGCAGCCTCCACACCCAGACCACGCTGGGTGGACAACTGCACGAGCGGCCATTCCAGCGGCATCTGGCCATGAATATGGAGAACGACATGTATTACACGGTGGACTTCAGTGAGAACTCGCAGCACTTGCCGCTAATACAGTGAGACTTAGTTGTTGCAGCTGGAACAGGAGCTTTAGCAGAAGCTCGAACCGGAGCTAAGGAGGATGGCTGGTTAGTTAAATTCACGAAGAAGCCCCCAACACATGGGTAGAGTAAGAACGCATTCGTGCTGAAAACTTCATTGTGCTACTCTTGCAGTGCCAGTGCTGACAATATGGACAGTACTGAAATTATTAAAGAAATAGTAAATAAAAACTAAAATTAAATAAAGTTGACAACAAATTAACCATTTGATTAAAACAAATACAATACATACTACACATGCCGTACTCAATAGGCTTAACAGCTTGTGTACTTTCAAAGTTTATTTAAGTCGGGCAAATACACACTTCACAGTTTCTAGTTTACAATAACTGGTCTTTGGTTTGAACTGATTGTGAATTATACAGTAAAGGAGTTACAATTCGCTTCACAGCAATGGACTTTCAAACAGCTTGCAGTAAATAAATATTTCGAAAAAATATTCAACATATTCAAGTTTCTTGTGGATTTTTCTTTTGTATTACACTTACCCGTAGAATTGCTCGACATATTTTGTAGTATAATCAAAAGAAAAACTCTTCTCATTAAACTAACTTCAATGAGAAGCCCACAATGCGAGAGAATGTGTTTGCGTTGCGGTAATTCAGTGGCCAAAAATTATAATTAAATTAATTTAACCGCAATAATAAATTGTCTTGTTAAAAATTAATTTGTGGCTAGAGATTATTGTCGCTATATTTGTGGCACATGAAACGCAAAATGTATATTTAACGGGTTGGCCATCGAGGTAATCATAAGCTGTTATTAAACATTAATTATCATAAACTAATATTTGCCATCAAGGCTAATATGTTTATTGTTTGCGGTTTATATATGTGTATTTAAAACTATTTTGCACAATGAGCAGGATTATATATTTCTGCGGCTGCATTGGGCATGTTGATATGGACGTGCAAATTTTAAAATTGAACGACGAGCACTGAAAACTGAACATAACAAATAGATTCAGAAGCAAAAACAAATAATAAAACTAAAATACTGAGAAAAAAAAGTAATTATAAATCAAAGATAACCATTGAAGCATTGCCCAACTCTCAGATACGCTGTATTCGTATTTCATTGTGCCATCATTCAGATAGCGAATATATATATATATTCTAAAGTCGGAGATGCCTGCTCGATTGTAGGGTATCACCTTGTAATTGTCACTAAAGTTAGTCGGATAACAACTAGTTGGGCACTGGTCATAATCAACTTAGGCTTTTTCCCTTTGCGATCACAGTATATTAACAATTATTATAAATAAAACTATGTTTGTAATGAAAATGCAGTAAATAAACAAAATAATAATAATAAATAAAGCTGACCCAGCTAAGCATGAAAAAAAAAATAAACAATCGGAAAAATCTGATATGCCAAAAAATGCAAGAAAATGCAACATTTTTAAATAAAAGCAAATCAAAAGAAACTTATGTGTACATTTAATTAAGAAAATGCAGTGTTCGTTGATAAAACCAATTTCATTTTAGGCAAAGGCAAATAAAAGATTTTCAAAGCAAACTCTAAACATGGCATTTTAATCGAATTGAACTTGGATGTAATTGTTTTCAGCGATTTTTTGTTTATTTGCATAATATAATATAACATATTCGTAACAAATGTACAACTAACAATAGATTGTTTAACATTTAAATGCCACACAAGCGTTATTCAATATCTCTCAAGTAGCGCCTATTTTATTGATTTTCTTTTTGTTGTTGTTTCATTTATAATTTCAATGAGTTTTGTAATATCACTCTACGCCCCAAGTACGCATCAGTTGGTTGGCCAACACAACCCATTCAATTGTCATCATCCTGCACGCTCTTCTCACAGCCCATGGACTCGGCCTTAGATGCCGCCTCCTCCAAGCAGCCAGACACAGTTGTTTTGGACGAATTTAGTTCCGTTTCCTCGGGTATTACCTTGGGTCCCTCCTGATCCTGTATTTTAAAAGCAGAGTTTGAGTAAGTTAAAAATGATATGCCTAAATACCATTCAGTGTGCATGCCCAATGCAATGGATATACATACATATATGTGTAGATCATTCAGTAAATTTATATGCAAATATATGCTACGATTAAGTTAATTATTCATTCAAAATGGGCTTAAAGCAATTGTGCAGTTTTAACAAGCATAAGTGAACATTTTCAATCCGAAATAATTTAAATATTTTTGATCAGCCTGGACACAGACTGAATATTGAAGGTGCAGCAGATGCAGAAAGCGGGCAAATCCCTACAAAGAACTATGATAAAAATTCCCTTCAACCAACGTGAATTTCTGACTTTTTTTAAGTCAAGAGTTTTATTATTCAAAAGGCTTGGGACATAAATACCCAATCAATGTAGAATGTATACCCAAAGACAATAAAAAATGTGTTTATTGTCTTTGGTATACCCCAAAATGCAGGTCTATACCTTTGAATTCTTGAAGGAGCTGCAGATCTGAATATTAATAATCCGTTTAAATTAATACGAACACATATATACAAATTTTTGGTGTCTCTATAATATCCGATTTAGGTATTCAATCGAGTTTGAAAAGGTCTTTATGTTTTTATGCCAAATTTGGTAAGACAACTCTTAGATTGCAGATGATATAGGTTTCTGCACTACATAATAATACTTTATTTTAAGTTTTAACTCAAATATAAGTATAAACCTATAAAAATGCATTCACATGAACAGACGTACAATAAACAACAGCGGCAATATACGCTTTTCACTTTGTGAACGACTAAACAAAAATATTTGCAAAATGTTGTATTGCCAATTAAAAGCTAAAGTAAATAATAAACCAATTGCAGAACATTCAAAGTACCTGCCAAAGTACTACAACAAAAACTAAAGCCAACGGAAAGCCCTTGTAAAGAGTGTAAACTAAATGCGATTTACCCACACAAAATGTTTGTTTGTTTGTTTTAGTGCTTTTTCTTGAAATTCCAGCAAGTGTTTTTTTTTTTACCTGCATGCTACTTTGAACTCATATCACATATGACCACATACACACTCGTTAGTGGCCCGTAAAAAGAGTTGAAAACAGAGCGTTGCTGTTGGCTACAACCATTCGTAATATACCCTGTTGACAGTGCAATAACAGCTGAAGACAGGTGGAAAAGGAACTACTCGATTATGGCGACTGCGACTTTAGACATGGGCTTACTCGAAATAAACCTGGCACAATCATTAATGTTTGGATGATATAGATTTTCTATCGACTTATCCCATCTGGGCATTCAATGCACAAAACCCAATATACCCCTTGTTATTTGTGAGCAGAGTATAATGGTCGCTAGGGCTTTTGAATAAGTTTTGGCCCCAATTAAAATGTGCTCATGCCAATTTTTTAACTTTTGAGAGCAATGTGCCAATAATACACGGACTCACTGCAAATGTAAGCTTTTCTATTGCATATCCAAATTTAGAGGGTTCATTTAACCTAATAGTGCTGTAAACAAAGTTGTTAGTTTCTATGTTTTTATGCTTCATTTGCCAAATACTTGTAATAAACTCTACTAATTAGAATGGGTACAAAATTGTACAGAGCGGGCTTATCTGACTTCACAGAGTGTATTTGTTATTAAAACCTTTGTCGTTTTAAACTTCAAATTTGTTCTCTTGCTTGAGCATATCAAGTTGATTTCCTGTCATCATCAATTCCACCCACTCGTCTAAAATGTCTTTCTTAGTTTTTTGTTTAAGAAGTTTGATAGGACAATCATTTTAGCGTACATAACGCACGATTCAAGAATATTGCCACATGCGTATACCTTCCCCCTCCACACTAAAATGAAAAAAACGATGTTACATACACACAATTGGATATCATATTTAAGCCCTGCATGTTTTGTAACTATTCAAGAATAATTATTCCATGTACTGAAGCCTCAGCATAGAGGAACCTCAGCTTGCATGTGTGTGCATGTACGCATTTATGCATGCATGCATGTATGCATGCTTGAGAGTACATGTAAGCATGTATAACAGAAATGCATTCATGGATCTTAAGTAGCGTTCGTAAAACCCAACAATTTATTTCGTTTGATGTAAAAAAAAAATTGCCCCGCCTTTGTTATGAAACAAAGCCTGCCCATTACCTTTGAATACTCTGCAGTCCGGTGCAACCGACAACCTAATACTCTGTCCACAATGTACAAAAATATAAATTGTTTATGGATATTGGCGCGAGGTGTAAGGAAGCCTGGCCGCAAGATTATTGGCGTGATCTTTGGAATAGTCGTAGTAGTTAAGGCATCTTTAAAACGTTGGAGATATTTTAAGGTACGAATTTCGCCTGCCCCGTATGTGGCGAGATCAAAAATGTTATCACTTTGGTCGAAGCTGATATGCCCAAATATATTAAGAGGCAGCGCAATGAAATGGTACAAATAGACAAGCCCGATATACTATGATGATGGTTGGAAAATGTACAGGTAATATGGTTTGTGTTACATGTATATATATATAAATTACCCAGAGTTGCGCGGTTGAATGCAAGTGATACCGAAATTATTTGTGTGCTTGTCAGACATATAAAAAATGTATGTATGGAACTATAATTTATTTGTTTCTCTTTTTGTCTATTATTATTGTTGTTTCTTTCTGAGCAGTGACAAATTTTTTAAACAAATGTTAAAATTTAAAATTAATACGTGCTTTGAACCAGCGACCTACCTAACTAATTTCTACTATCGTATCGAAACGAATGTTTCAAAATAGCTTCTTAATTTTTACCTTCACCCAGAGAGACAATTTCCGTAATAATTTAAGCGCCGGCTGTACGTTGATTGCAAATCAGTTAGTCAGTCAGTAAGGATAAACGCTATTATATATATTTTTATTTTTATTTTTTTACTTTTTGAAAATTACACATTACTTACGCTCAATTTCCCACTCACTTTTTGTGCGTTGGCTTTAGGTCGTTAGGCACCAAACGCACCCTCTCGACCAAGGGAATAAAATTAGTTGGCATTCAATTTAAAAAATACGTTTTGTTTTTTTTTTTGTCTTTTCTATGGGTTTAACAATTCTGTTAACTGTGTTATGCTACAATAAGTACGAGAAACTAAGACACTTTAAGCTTAATATTCGCTCCGTCTAGGCGTTAGTACAACAAATTGGGAACAAACACATATTGTTGAACTTGCCAATTTGACAGTAAATAATTTCGAATCAGTCGAATTACGATTTTAGCCTTTTTTTATACCCTGTTCCAATTGATATATAGTAGAAAAGGGAATATATGTATGAGGCAAAAGGAAACTCAGCCAACCACATGGAGTAAGTGTATAAATTTGGCACGAAGAGGAATTTTAATGAAATATGTACATAGAAATATATTATCTCTTTTGTTTATTTTGTTTTAGTTTGGTTTTGTGTAATGAGTGTTAAGGCATCTTCAGCTGGGTATGGAGTTTCGCCTAGTAAAGCACTCTGGAATATAGCACTTTTTCTTTCTTGTTTTAAATATTTGCTATCTTGCCGTGTTTCAACTAGACATAATTAGGCATCATACCAAAAGTGTGAAGCAAAAGAATTAAATTTGCACTTATTAAGAAGATAGAAACAGAACTAATAGATAATTGGAATGAAAGCGTAAGCTACCTGATGACCCCAGATGAAAGAGAAATATGTGTAGTGTACAAAGCACACATTTGCTCAGTAAGGTTTTAGTCTCTGGTAAATGTTTAAAACTGCTTTGTCAAAAATCGATGTATATTGACAATAGGCAAATTGTGGAGATAACGATTAAAAGACATATTTAATGGTGTCGGAGATGGTTGCTTCAGCCTGCTACAAATATTGGCATAAGCCCAGTATACCCCTTGGCAGGCACTTGAACACTTACAATGAGTATGCATATGGTTCTACAAACTCCAGACTGAATTGCAATCGCAGTCCCAGTGAGCAATATAATTTATTCAGCAATGCTTACTACGAGATTGAAGAGTTTTATTGCTAGAACCATGTTAGTCCGCACTTCCATCTAAATTTATCTGTGTGTGTTTGTGTTCCCTTAGTCTTGAAGTTATCGTAATGTGACAGAGATGACATTTAATCAGAGTCAACTAGAAAGGAAAGCAAGTGCATATGGCTGACATTAGGTTAGCCACGTAATTTCCGATTCGTTGTCAGGTTTTCATCACCAGTTCAATTATTTGGAGACCAGTATACAGCAGCATTGACAGCTTCAGCTTCAGAGTCGTTGCCATCGTTTCACATTTTGCTCCTCTTTGTTTGCACACGTTAGAGTCATGTTTTTGCTTTTCCCAAGCGGCAAATCCTCCTGCTCATTGTTGCCTTTGGAACAGCTGCTATTGTTACTTTTTGTCAATTTGAACTAAGTTGAACAACAAAAAAAGCAAAAGCAAACACAATCGCAGCGAAAGAAAAATAGCAAAGCCGAAATTTTCAACGCAGACCCAACAACCAAAACGAGATGCCAAAAAATATTTATTTTTCTATTCAAATATGAAAAAGCTGTGTGCTTGAATATCTCAAACAGGCGAACAGGCAAATTTAGCATGCATTAAATCGAACTCAAACTCAAATACTGGTGCAAGTGTGGCCCTTAATTTAACGTAATAAAATAATTCCCGAGTGGTTTGGCAAACGCAAAACCAACATCAATAAAAACAAATCCAAACGAAACAAAAACAACAAGAACCAGAACCAGTACCAGAACGAGAACTGCAAATCTAATGCATCAGCCGCCAGCTTTTCAGAGGATTTTGTGGTGCTGGGGATGCGCGCATGCCAGATCCAGATATATATATATATACATACTGTGTGTGTTTGTTGTGAATAAATACTCTTGCAGAGCGAACTACAGCTTTATAAATGGACACTCAAAGGATGAAGCCAACGCTTAACACGGACAAAATAACAATCGAAGTAAGTCTATAGCTGGTTGTATTTTAGTCAGATAAAATGTAGAGATTCATATGATTCTTTTAATCCGTGTCCCTCTCTGCAAGGATATCTGAGCTTCGGCTTGCCGAGCACTTGTTTTTGTTAATGCATTCATTTGACCCATTTTGGATTGTACATTACCATTAACATAGAGCTGGGTATAACGGATAAATCCACAGCGGGTATTGAAGTTAACAAACCACTTGGATACTTTTTCATACGGCTCGGAAAGAACGTTGATTCCACGCCCTGTTTGTTTGTGAATGGCATTTGTTGTTACATACTTATGATACAGATGCACTCGCACACTAATTCTCATGCACACTCAGGCACACACACGCACACACGCACACACGCAACACGCACACTCAGGCACACACATGGGCGGGGGCTGATGGTTTTGGCAAATTTATTTTGCACAAACGAAAAACCCAAACGAACTTTCGCCTCTGGACTCGCCTGCAATTTGCAAGCGTCGCCTCCTAGCTCCCGCCTCCTGCTCCCAGCTCCTGCTTCCTGCTGCCAGCTAGCTTTTGTTTCCAGCTCAGTCGAGCTCTCAGTTTGTCAGTCGTTCGGTCCACATGTCCGTCTGTCCGCCTCAGAGTGTTGTTTGCAGCCTGGAAATGCCAAGGCGAAGTTTGGCATGTTCATAAATTCATTAATTTGTTGCTCTTGCTGTTGTTATTGTTGTTTTCTCTTTTCGGTTTTCTGTTTTTCGTTTTTTGCGCATTTGTTGCAACCACATTTGATTTATTGAATTATGGTTGCCGAGCTGCCATAAAAGCCCGCTTGAAAGCTTTGCCAATTAATTACGAAATTAACTGCGGCCAGCAGCCAGGTATATATCATTATAAGTTTTTAATTAAACCGATAGAAAAATTATTTAACTCATTGGCAGTTGCATTCACAAATGAAATGCGTCCAGATGAATTTGTTGCGTTGTGCTTAGAAATCTATGGACAACAATTTGTACAAGCTCTCAAAAATCAAACAGATAAGAGCTCGACTGAGCAATACTCTGTTTTGAGTGTAATAACAGCTTAAGTCGAGACTTGTCGAAAATTGTACTCTTGATTATGTTAAATAATATATACTAATATACTCATTTCCATTTAGTGAATAGAGTATCAAAAGAAAATTGTGTCAGAAGAATGTAGGAAATTGCAATTTCTATTCCTAATTCGAACTAAACATGTCTGGTAGGCGGCATATCTGTATAAAAGATTGTTATTCCAGGTAGATCTAACTCTTACGGTTCAGCTAGTTTAAAGGAAAAGCAAAAGAACAAATAGCAATAAAGCTGCATTTCATTCGGAGTTGGGAATCAAAGCTATTGGAGAGGAAACAACTGCCAAACACACGAATACTGAAAAATAAACAATGCACGATAAACGATAAACGGCAAGCGGATGCAGTGCCGCAGAGCATCCGGCAAGGAACAGGAAGAGCCCAGCCGGACAGCGCTGGGTATGCTAAAAAGTTATTGGCGCAACAGCTGCTAAACATTTTTTAAACTCACAAGCCAGCTCACTTCAAGCCAGGGCAAAAGGCGCCACCCCCAACAGAAGTCAAAACAATTGACGACAATCATCGGAATCAGAAACATACAAACACTCACACCCTGATACACACACACACCACCTCACACACAGCGTAGGTTGTTAGGTGGACTCGAACTGGGACTCACCTCCAAAACGACACCCTCCAGGGCGGGCTGTGAAATGTTCTTCAGATTGCTGTGATTCAATTTGGGCGCACTGTCGGCACGATTTCGTCCCAGTGATTGATTTGACGTTTTGTTATCGGCTTTGCTCAGCATCGAATTGTTGGAGGACTTGTGATTAATTTCGAGCGCCGAACGCAGTATATCCACCTTGGAGGCGCTATTGCCAATGTTTCCGTGCCGGGGCACGCCCCTCAAGGACTCCACGTTGTAGCTGCTGCGGCGCACCGATAAATGGTCGTGTATGTCCGCCTGATCGATAAATTGTAATTAAAAACTTCCCACGCGAAATGCAAGGCCTGGACTCACCCTCGAGCCCCTTGGCAGCGATGACAGGCTGCCAATCTGATTGTACTTGATCATTAGGCTGAGGCGTTCCAGCGACATCGATGTGCCCTGCTCCTTGGTGGCGGGCTCGGTCAGCTTTTCGGTCTCGCCAGCCTCGACGGCCTCAACCTCCTCCTCGGACTCCTCCGTCGTGTGATCAAATTTGCGCAGCCAAATGAGATGCAGCAGCCCATACGCAATGCCGCCCACCACGGCAAGCAGGCCCATGTAACGGAATGCATCGCGTGTGCCAAACTGTCCGATGAGCAGGCCGCCCGTAAAGCTGCCGCTGCCGCGTCCTGTGCGAATAAGAACATTCATTACATGTTGCTAGAGTACTTTAAAGGCTTTCAGACTTGCCCAAGCTAAAATGAGCCATGCCGAGTACGCCAATCAGCGTGGCAAGCAAGCTTTTGGGTGCCAATATGGAGCAGTAGGTGGCAGCTGCCACCCACATCAGGTGGCAGGAGAGCGATTCCATGGCCTCGAACGGAAAGCACCACCAGGCGTTTCTAGGAAAAACTCGATGCTGCCATAAAATTAGATTACACGCACATGTTTGGCACACTTACTCGATAAAGGAATAGCCCACTAGGCGTCCGGCGTGCGAAAAGAACGCTATGATAATCAAATTAACGTGTCCAAATATGCGTGTGATTTTCTCCGCACCATACAAAAATGGAATGCTGCTCACGGTGCCCACAGTAATTGTAATGCCTGGAATAGCCAGCACGAAGCCCATATTAACAGATGAGCTTCTCGCTGATGGCATTGACGGCAGTATTGCCAGAACTTACCCAACAAGTAGTTAGGAGCGCCCAGCTCCTTGAGATACAAAAATAGAAAGCTCTCGATAAAGCCCCAGAAATTTCCGAGCACAAACAGAAATATTATAAAGGCAATCACGTGCGGCATTTTCAATAGATTCCATAAATCCCGAAAAACATTATCCGCCGGCAGCTTCTCGCCCAGCGGCATCATTAGCACAGACATTGTCGATATGACCAGCAGCACATCGTACGTATAAAAGGCAGCCGAGTAGTCTGTGTAGCCCAATCCCCTTGACGAGTAGTCAATCATGATACCCGTAATGGGCGAGAAGATGGCCATGCCAATGCTCGAAAACAAGCGTTCACGTCCAAAGTCTCCTCCGAACTTCTCAATCATCGTCAGTGCAATGGGATCCATAATGGTGACTCCTGCCGACAACATGGTCGTTGCCAGAAATCTGAAAATTAAATGAGTAATTACAACTGTTTCGACTGCACAATACTCTATTTACATTCTTCATTATGGCTAAACTGGTTGAAAGATTATATTTTGACTTTCACGTTGATGCTTTAACAAAATAACATATATATATAGATAGTTGGGATAACTTGAACTAACAGTCTTTACATTTTATTTAAATTTAAAGCAATTGAGAAATTCCCTTTTGAGAACAGAGTATAATTACATTAAGCTACCTGCTTTTATCAAATATAATTTAGATTTTATTTAAACGATTAGTCAATGTCTCTCAAAAAATGCCTAGGAAATTGCACTTTCCATTAGTTCTGGAAAACTTCAGATTTCATTGCATTAAAAAGTTAATACTCATTATAGATTTGGATAGCATATACATGGTCAGCCAGATCAAGACATTAAACCGATCCAATTTGAGTCCAATATTTTCTTTGTCTTTACGCTGAATCTAAACTTAAGCCGGATAAATTCATAACAGGAAGAACTTAACGTGAACCGATCAATATTTTCTATATGCCCTCTAATAAGCTAGTTCTATAATAAATCGACTAGTGGAAAAGTAATTAATTCAACCCCAAGCCAAGCCAAGTCAAGCCGAGGCAAGGCATTGTTTTAAATCGTTTTAATAGAATGTTAGCCTACGTACCGTAGTAGAAAGTATATCCAGAAAATTGTGTCGTCGGTTTCTTTGTAGTCAGGTGGGCAAATTTCGGGAGCATTCAATGTGAACGTGCAACGTTGCATCAAGCACCTGACGGCCTTTGTGTTCACATAGGACATGTTGGTGCGCCTAACCAGGCCTCCGCATCGCAAATCCAGGTCGTCCATGTCAGTGAGATTGATTTGCATTTTCACTAGCCTGTCCTCGCCAAAACGTTGCCTAATATCGGTGACCGTCTCGTTGTCATCTTGCTCGATTTCCATGCCCAGCTGCTCGGTGGGGTCCGCCAAATCGGGATGCATTTGCAGCATAAAGTACGTCGCATCCGCATCATCCGAATGCACCCAACTGCTGCTGGCCTTTGATTTGTCGCCCGTACTGCCCGCAGAAACTGTAAGGACCCGTATGCTAATAAGTATGGCTGGATAGAGCTTTAACAATTACAGACAAGCAACAAACTATAAGCCGAGTATTTAAACAGCTGCAGAGTAGTTCCGTGGTGTAACCAGCTTATTTGCCTTGGGGTATTAAAGCAAAACTTTCACATTTTCACATTTTGTAGGAAAATAAAAACTTCGCCAAGCTAAAAACCCGCGCAGTTGTGCAGTTTATTTAATTCCTACTTCACAAATGTTTTCAAGCATAAACTCTATTTGCTTCTCTAATGTTTGATATTGATTAACTACGAAGGAATAGGGATATGATGAAGTAGATCGATATTGACTCCGACTGACTCCTACATATTCAACATAACCGACATTTGAATTATTTAGTTTGGTATGGAAGAAAAAATATTTTAAATTTAAAGTTGTCCTTCCAATAATGATATATAAGTATATATATCTGCAGATTCTTCCTGTTACATACATTTGCACAAAAAAATAGTTTTCCTTTTAAGCCATATTCAATGGCATCACTTGACATGGATGCGGACACAGATATGGACAATGTGAGAGAAGAGCCTGGACGCCTGGTGTGAATGACTCGGTCGACACCAAAACTAACGGCTAACAAGCAGCCGAAGGCAGTCGCTGCAACCGCTTGGCCCTAATGATATTAAGAGCGAAGCTGACCAATTCCGTGGTCGAAAGAGGGACAATGGAGGGATCATCATGTAGAAGTGTCACTTACGATTCAATCCCTGCATGGACATGGCTGACAATTCCACGGCTGCCGATGAAGCAGAGCCAGAGGGTGGCTGCTGCACTTGCAAGGACAAGGCAGAAGCGTTCTCCAGTGGCGGGAACATGGTCGATGACATATTAAGTGCATCTTGGTATCTGCTTCTCGTTTGTGTTGCAAATATTGCTGGTAATGACGACGCTGGCGAAGAGGTCGTCGATGTTGTTGTTGTGGTCACCAAGGCTGGCTCATTCGCATCCATGCTTGGACCGAGCATTGCCCTCGTCGTGGTCGTCCTTGTTGTGGACCTGTCATGCTGCGCCACATCGGAGTAAAGTTCTGGATTTACTTGCTCCTGCATTAGACAATAGTCAACGCATTGATACACAGCCAAATCCAGCTCGGGCTCTTCCGGACACTCTCTACTGGGGCAAGGTGACCACCAGACCTGCAAACAATTAACAAAACCGAAACAATTATAAATAACTTCATTAAATATGCTAAAAATGTTTAAATGACACAAGCGTCCCATTAGGCTTAGCAAATTGTCTAAGGCCTTTCAATTTAGAGTATTATGCGCGTAAATCCCATGCAGAGATGGCTTTCCGAGAAATATCTCGTTTATGAAGCATGAATAAGAAAAAAATTTACCAAGCATCTTTCTTTAGATAGCATTTCGTCAGTTTTCCTTCCATTTTGGGCAGCATTACGAAAATCCTCACACAACATTGCAGTAGGCATTTCAAACGAATAATTTCAGTAAATGAAAGCCAAACAGTAGTAGAGCTTACGACTAGGAGAAAACAGAAAGTACAAATTTGAACAAAAATAAAGGTTGACATCCAAATATCTCGATGTCTTCGATACCAACTAATACATGGAGTGAGCAGCTGCGTGAAGTGATCAGTTCACCATTGGGAATTGTGGCAATGACCTGCCTCGTGGGCTATATTGCGTATACGCACATGCGTCGTGAACATCCGACCTACGATGACGAGGACTACGAGAAGGAGGGGCACGTCAAGATTCCGCTGCCTCTAAAGAATCTCACTCTGACCAGGCAGAAGCTCGAATACTACGATGCAAAGAATCCCAACGGCAGGTATCTGGTCGCCCTACTGGACACCATCTACGATGTGTCCAGTGCACCACACGACTTTGGACCGAATGGCAGCTATGAGGGACTGGCTGGTACCGATATTATGTGGTACATTCGAAATACGGCCCGCTTCGAGGCACGCGATTTCAATAGCTATTTGAACGAGTGGAAAAACATGCTCGAAGATCACTTTTATGTAGCTGGCGTGTTAATACCCGAGAGCAACAACGATGATTCGGACTCGGATGAAGGCACAGTTTACGATTCGGCCAACGATAAGGATGAATATACCGAATTCAAAACTGAAGCTGGTGAGGGCGAAGAGGAAGAGGAACTAACGGCCACAGTTTGCGAGGGCTCAATTAATATGGATGTGGAGGATGTTGATAAGACAATCATCGACTGGACCGAAGGGGACAAGACTATTTTGGCCATGTAGACCAGTTCTGACAAGGTTTATGGCTGCTCTACTAGCACTATATTTTGGCCATAAGCGCAGGCCCAGCATTACACTAAAACATAAATAATAATAAATATTCCCCCATTTCGTTTATCTGCAAATGCAGCCGTGGCTGTCCGTTGTGATTCCTCGTCCATGTCCATGTCCATGTCCATGCATATATCGATTACTAATTTTAATGCGAATCGAGAATTTCAATTCCAGGACTATGAAAGACAACAGCAACCCCGTCCAGCGGTGCCAGCAATAATAAAAATGGTAATTTCCGGCAACAACAAGTCCAAATACAAATTTCCCAAACGGCAAACCTTGCTGGAAAAATGCACAATAAGCCACAAAGCAAAGAACAGAAGAAACAAAGCTCGAGATGCAACAACCTTTAAAATTCCTTAAAATCCCTTACATGCAATTTGAAAGTATAAACAAAATATAAAACTTTAGTTTTAGTATAGTATACAAACGCCTTTCATTGTCAGACACCTGCTCCGAATACTCTTTAAACTAGTGAAAAGTTCTATTTAACATTTAACTTCATTTTATACTGAGAGTGAGCAAAAGAGATTGGATAACTTGCCATGTTTAGCTAAAAGGCGCTTTTAATGGAAAAATCGTCCATTGAAATTGGGAGATTCAGAGAAAGTTTCAATGTACGAAGTCTGAGAAGGACGCAACAGCTTTTAAAGCAATTCGAAAATCTACTTCAACTTCGATTTGACCCATTTATGAAACTTAATACTTAAATAAATATTTTTGCTGGACAAACTAATGCATCCGACAAGGAGCTGAAGGAATGGTGGCTGAAGGAATTTTCCACTGTCGTTGTTTCGTCTCGGTGACAACATATTTTCGGTGACCTGGCTCTTAAACGGTTGGATAAATAAATTCACACATTGCTTGACGCTGATTTATACGAGTTTATGTTACAAGTTTGCAATCTAGCCGAGAGAGAGAGCGGACACATTGTTTTCGGCCAGACAACAGTTGAAAGGAAAGCACAAAATTAATGTTTATTTCAAATTTACAACAATATGTTAAACACTTAATAAACAGCTTGATATTATTGATACCAAAAACAGCACAAATATTTACATAGTCCTTGTTGATAATACTCTCTGCAACAATTGACATCATTCTACATATTGGTCGTTTGTTTAAATCACTTTCAAGGCAAACATATATCTATAACGTGTTTTATCGGGAAAATCTTAGAACATTTAAGAGCTAAATACTTAAATTAAACGTAGGTCCTACCAATCGAAAAACTCCTAGGCAATCGAAAAACATGCCTCATTTCCATGCATTCGATAAAATCGATATCTGACTTTGTTCATAGAATCTGTAAAGTAGGGATGCCCCCTTCAACCATGCACTATGAAATTGTAAAAAACGCATGTTTATACTCAGATAATTTGCGTGTGAGCATCTGTGTTTTTGTAGAAGAAACATAGAATGTTCCTAAAGCTAGCCTGCCGTGGGCTCTATGATCTTCTATTAGAACACTCTTGATTAGAGCATTCTTAATTGCCAGTTATACCCTTGTGGAGGGTATTCACATTTTGTCATGACACGTGTAGCTATATATATACTTGATCAGTATCGAAATCCATCTGTCCGTCTTTCCTTTTGTCTTTAATGGTTTTCAATTATATCTTCCCCGAACAATTTACTATTCTCCTCATATCTCTGTTTAAGCGTGGGGCATTGAATAGAGTATTTTCTCTTCGGCTCGCTGCATTCTGGTGCTCAGTCTTGTCTTAATGTATTTTATTTGCAGATCATAAATACAAATTCGATACACACCCTAACCATGTATGTGTCTAAGTGTCGAATGACTAATGCGAGTGTGTTTCGAGTGTGTGTATCTCAAAGTAGAGGATACTTTGCGCCAATTCTCATTTAGGGCAGTGCGTGCCACTGGCATTGGTTCAGGAAGAGGACCACAACGAGGCCCTTAACACGCAGGTCCATTGCGTTTCATTACGACTAACGACAACGGCTCTGTTCAACTTGCCGTATTGCAGTCCACATAGATGTGTGTGTGTGTGTGTGTGTTTGCGAGTCATACGTGTCTGTTGTCGGTGTAGTTTAAGTGCTGCAAAACGACACAAAGATAAATGTACGTGATACAGACACATGCGGAGCTGACGTGCACTCCTGTGTACCTAAGTGGATTTTTTGGCATTGCCTCCCAGCTTGGAAGTTCTTCAGGTCTGTTGTTAGTTCTGCAGTCAGTTCTAAGCTGTCACTAAGTCGAGGACTTACTATTTCCATATGCATTTGTTTAACATTTCAATAGGAACAGTATTTCAACTTTGTTTTGGAAATAATATTGAACTTTCAAAACGCTAGCAAAAAATATGCCCATTAAAATGTGCATAAAGGGTATGTTTAAGCTGTTCAAAACAAAGCAACTTAATAAATAGATTTTCAAATTTAGAGCTTGAGATATAAGATAGTTTATGTTTTTACATACACATATAGTCTTTCTCTCTGGAGATAGGCGAGTTCTTCTTCTATTTAGGAGAAATCAAATGCCCCATTCAGCCTTTTTTTATACCCTGAACCCATTAAAACAGGGTATAAGGGTATATTGTATTTGTGCAAAATCCAAATGTATGTAACAGGCAGAAGGAAGCATCTCCGACCCCATAAAGTATATATATTCTTGATCAGCATCAATAGCCGAGTCGATTTAGCCATGTCCGCCTGTCTGTCCGTCCGTCCGTATGTATGAACGCAAGGATCTTAGAACCTATAAGAGCTAGAGACTTAGATGTAGGTGCTCCTAGTGCCTGCGCAGATCGAGTTTGTTTCCGGTATTCGATAACTTACTCCGTTTCCAAGCAATCGATAAAAATCGATATCGATATCCTGTTTTTTGGGCAATTTTGGTAAATAATAAGAGCTAGAGTCACCAAACTTGACATATAGCTTCTAAAATAGAATATATATATGCATTTGATGTTGGAAAAAGAGGGTTCAGGGTATCCCCTAGTCGGGAGCTCCCGACTAGAACCTCCTTCTTGTTTTAGTAAATACAGAGTATTTAATCGTAAGCATTAAAAATTTGAGCGTACTAAGAGCTGGAGCATTCTTCTAAATTTATATTTTTCTGCGTTATGTGCTTATTTATTCTACTTGAGATTGTGGGCATGCTTTTCTTGCAGCCATACTCTCTTAATATATTAACAGATAAAAGCGCTTTACTGACATATAAAACACAATTCAGTGCTTAATATTTTATTATGACAAAGGCAGCAACAGCCGGACAAATGCCAAAGGCAATAAATGCCTGAAACAACAATAACACAAAACTGTCCACATTGCCGGACTTATAAGCATAAAACAAAAGAAATACAATGCATAAAAATGAAATCCCCCAAGCAACAAATTTTGCCAATGCCTACACATTCACATTTACAAGGTCCAAAAGGTTGGCAACCGACATTTGCTACATTCGACAGTTATTTGCCATATTCAATGATTTTACATGACACAAATTTATGCGCATGCAAAGCTCGAATCTCGAGCAAAAAGGCAATTCAAGCAGCCGAATAGTATGCAACACAAAAAGATGCAACATCTGGCACAGGGTGACCCAACACAGACAGACAATCTGGCACATACTATGCGTATGCGTAATATGGTGTGTGTGTGTGCATGTGTGTGTATGTGCGTGAGCATTTGTGTGTGCCCGTAGCTGCATTTGTGTCTGCGCCAACGCGAGTCAGGTTGATGGGCTCCCAGCAATGTGTAGTCAGTCGCTTCCAAAGTTTCCCTCTCTTTCGCTCTCACACACTCTCTGTCCGCGTGGGCACAGCCAGCACACACACACACACACACGCACACTCAAACGCCGAGGTGGAGAAGCTCAGTTGGTGTGCGTTTTATAGCTGTATGTGGGCGTGTGCCTTAGTGTACGAGTGTGTATTGATAGTGACAGCGTTATGGCGCCTCGAATAAAAGCCGGCTTTTGTGCTGTGCTGCTTCTTGCTCTTCGCAAAATATATAGACATCCAGCGGGGACCGCGAGACAGACACGAAATACGTGTGCCACAATTGAATACGTGTCCGTTGCAGGGCTTTTGGATTAAGTAAAACATTCCCTAGGCAACACGAAATGAACCATATCGGACATACAATACCCATTGAAATTGGCTGAAAAAAAGGCCATAGTGAAATTGTCAAAATTTATTTATCAGCCAGGTTGATATATATATTGATGGTAAATATCCATTGGCGGGTAAGCCAGACCTTGTTGGTAGTCTGCGTAAATTCGTAAAGCTCAGATTAAGTTCATTTCAAAAGAGATAAATGTGGTAGATTTCCATTTTGCTTTGCTGATTAGCAATGCATATAACTTATAATATATCCTTGTTGCACCCATGACTCCCCCCCTTTCTTTTGCTTGACCCATTTATTATGGATATAAGGTGTAACAGGTGTTTGCAGTGAAATAAATTCGGAAAATCTGCAGCTAAGTTGTATGCCATTTCGTAATGACTAATGAATAATGACTAATGAATAATGCCTAATGAATGATGATTAATGAGTGATGACTAATGATTAATGACTAATGAAAAATTACGAATTACTATATTGAAATGCCTATTAATAGTGATCATAGTTACTCATATTATACTTATAAATACGTTATGGGGTCTTCTTTTATGCGTTACACGCTTCTTGACAAAATTACAAGAGTTTGTACCCTTTATGCGGCTTGATTATACTTGATGCACGTGTGTGAATCGTTTTTCTTAAAGTTTATAAAGCCGTGTTGCTATTAGGTCTCCCTCGTCCCATAGAATGTGCGCCTGCTCTGCACCATCTGTCAAATGGCAAGAAAAGTCAGTGGCGAACACCCAAAACTGTGTCCCACTTTAGCTTTGCCCAAACTATTGTCAAAATACCAAATAACAACCACGACAAGGAGCCATGAAGCAGGCGCATTTAATCTACTGTGCAACAGCTGCATCAAGCCGCTTCAGGTTTTAGAAGTTGTTGCTTGCAACCTTTAGTACTACATCTAGTAGATGTGTTTGTGTGCGTGGGTGTGTGTGTGTGGCAGCTAATGTGCAGCAGTCTATCAGGCTGCACTCTACATAAAAGCTAAAGCACAATCCAAGGCAGTTGCTGGAATTTTGCACTTAGCTAAACATCGAACTGCGCAGCTTTTAGGAATTTAATTTTCAATTGAATTTAATGCTAACATTGATAGTTTATAGCCGAATGATTCGTTTACCTAGACGTTGTAATCCAATTTGTGTGCTTTCAAAGTAGGCTTACAGCGATTTAAGTAATTAAAGAGAAAATTTCCATCAAGACAAACTTGACAGAGTTTTGTAGTTGTGGCACTTATTGAAATGGATGCTTACCTCAGTGTCGCCGCTCTCCGGATGCCGTATTACAAATGCCGATGGGACCACTCCTGGTATCTCCTGCTGCGGTATGAAGAGCAGCGAGTGATGGAAAATTGCATTCAGTAGAAGACTCATCACAACGACTGGCTTGTATTTGCCAAATTTGTCAACGAGAAAACCTGCACCGTGACAGAGAAAAGTAGAGAAGTGGATGCCAAGTTAGAGCTCTGAATAAACGAGGTGTGTGTGTGTGTCTGTGTGTGTGTGTGTGTGTGTGTGTGTGTGTGTGTGTCTTTTGGCATCTGCATCTGTGGCCTGGCAAAGTGTTGCCCAAAGTGGGCAAGCTTTATCAAATATGTTGACTACAAGATGGCCCTTGCCATTGACAAAGTTGCTCACAACTTAGTTACACATTGAGCTGAACTGGCTCAGATGCTGGACAAATTTAATTTGAAATCATGTTCCATCCTGACATCATGTGCCAGATTTGTTTACAGTGCATAAGATTAATTAATATAATGTATATAAATGTGCATAAACCATATCATAATGTATGCATTGGATTTTATGTCAATAAATATACGAATATAATATAAATTAGGACGTCGCCGACTAGAAGTTGCCTTCAACTCAGCACTATAAACATTCTAGCTTCATTTGCAACATATTACACATACACACTAAAAGGAAATATTCTTGAATAACTTTCGTTGTTTATGGAATGTTGACAGCTCAAATATAGCGCCAAAATACATGTATATGCCAAAGCAGATAGCTCTACTAAAATGTTATTCATTCTTGTGAAATATGCCTCATTTGTGCATACTATACGAAAACCTTTAATATATTATAGCCATATCCGATAATTATTTAAATGTCATATTATACGTTCATCTAATAATCCAGCTGACCCAATTTTGCTTCACCATCTAAACACTCACCTGTTATTGGAGGGCTGAGAAAAGTTGTGAACGGCAACGCCAAGTAGATAATGGCTATTTCCTCCACCGTCAATCCAATCGATTGCATGTGTATCGTCAAATAGGGCAGCAATGATGAAGTGGCTAAAAAAAAAAAGCATGAGTAATCAGAATTGCAGAATTAACTGTCATAATCAGAAGCTATGCTATGAAATGATGATGATGTGTATCATAGGGTATCTGTAAGCTAGGACTACCCTATTTCCATCGGCGGGAGTTAATTTCTATAAGCTTTTACTCCAAATAACTCCAAATGAATTAGGTAAACAACTAAACAAATTTCAAATTGATGCCTAATTATAAAAGTGAAATGTGCTGCTAGATTTGAACCGGCAAGCTCACGCTTGCTAGTCCGACGCTCAGCCAGTCTTGTTGCTATTTTCACGCAAACTTTGATCACCATTTTTTCTACTTGAGGGTAGAATTTTCCAAAACCACTTTCTTAGTGTTCGATTTCCATTCGTAGGAAATCTTTCAGCTTTTTAGCCCCAAGTTCCTTAAGCGTAAGATTTTCTAGTTTTCTACTTGAATATATTGTCGAGATTTCTGTTTGAATTTTAAGCGCAATTGTATGCTACTAATGCTGCATCAATTAAGATATCTTAGAAAGTAGTGAGAAAGTGAATTGGGTTGGTCGAGAAGCTGCTACTTCAGTTCAAATATTTTAAGAAGTATGAAGATAGGACTCAAAAGTCAACTTGGCCATTGACACCAACTGGACTATAGATATTTACGTAATGTGTCGGTGTTTTCTAGTGCTTGTGTACGTGTACTTCCAGAACGGTAGCTACATCTTGGGTACAGGGTACAGCGGCATAAAAGATAGTTGAAGATAGTCTCGACAAAGGCGTGAATATCAGAGCGAATAAAAACCGCATTAATACTAATATTTGCGACAATTTGACTTTAATGACATAAAACAACATGCGACCAATGGCCAAACAGAGGTCGCCTTATTATTAGGCACAGACGGAACGCGGGCGATCCGCAGTAGGACGGCAAATGATCGCAGAATGTTTTTGTCATTGACCGCGAGCAGCGAAAACAGCGCACGGTCATCTGACTTGACTGGCGTTGATTTAAGTTTGAGATACATAGATACTAGTTGAGGCGAATAAAACTAAACCTTCCTCAAGCCTAAGTCACATAAGCTAGATTTATTTACAAAAGCCACACGCAGACCCACAAGAAAACTATATATAAACTATATACATACACACACAGACATATATACATATATATATGTATATATGTACATATATATATGGCTGTGTGTCTTAATTGCCACATACTGGGAAAAGCTGTGCTGCCCAACAAAAGAAGCTCCATGTCCAAGCGCGTGTTTGTGTAACTAAATTTATACAAATGTGTAACTCATTTTGTGCCTAATTGATTATTTCCGACCAGCCTATGCCCCCAGTATTACAGTTCCACAGTTCCACAGTTCCACAGTTCCACAGTTCCACAGTTGCCAAGATCGTCGTATCTTCTGGGGCCGAGACGCGGTGCAGAGCTGCATCACGTTGTGATAATGAATTCAAAGATTCACTGCCAGCCTAACTCGATCTCGTATTGTAGGTAAAACTGCGCTAGATGTGTGTGTTCTTTATGCTCTGTTTGTAATGTCAAATCGAGCATATTTGTTTTGCTCTTGTCTGGATTGTAGCCTGAATCCAACCTTTTAAACACAAACCTTCGATGCACTCGATTGCAGTCTAGCTCCACTAAGAGATATGTATTCTCGAATATCTTCAATGAATATGAATTCTTCTGGACATAACATAAGTGTATTCTAGTGCCAAAGGGAAAATATTTACGCTAAGAATCGAGTTTTTCCTATTTTACAAGTCATGAACTATACAAAATGGTCTACTTCTTATATATCTTGAGTTATGCTTCAAATAAATGGTTCGATCAACAAAGAAGAAGATATATTATTTAAATATCAAGTCTCATACTTTTGTAGTTTCCGAGATCCACGCCTTATTATAGACTGGCAGACGGACTTTTCTGGATCTACTCAGCTTGGAGTTTCTATCGAGAATATATGAGCTCAGAGATGATTCTTCTATTTATTATTATTATACTGAAAGTAACGTATTACCCAGTTACCCGGCGCGGATGCTTGATCTGGCAAAGGCATCAGTCCGAACCTCAATTCCTGCTTAGCCCGTGCTAGGTTGTTCCCGGAGATTAGATCAGTTTCCTGCAGCTTTCGCTGCCGAATATGAAACTAAACGAAACTGTCCAAAACGCTTTCATAGAGCTACTAAGGCATCCATGGCCCGATAATAGCTAAGGTGAAACTTAACCTAACCGTTTTTCTTGCCAGGCACGTCGGAAAGTCTACTGACATCTTCCGTGACCTTTCCCTTTATCAAAACATTCCTGAATTGTGTCTGATTCAATGGGCAACTCTTCAATGGGCAGCATTCCTGCGTTGACCAAAGCCTCGCGCAAGTTTGTCCTTAACGCGCGACTGCCCCCAGATGTGTGTGTGTGTGTGTAAGTCAAGTGCATTCGTGCAACATTCGCTATATTGACATATTTTAACAATCAGTGCACAAATGTGATGAAAGTATATTATATTTATTTGATCATTTGAACAAACGAATGTGTGCTCTTTCGACCTTCCTTTGATAAAATGTTAACATGTATCTATATCTGGCACAGTTAACATCTGTTTGAAGCTGTTTTGACACTGCTTAAGTATTTACTTCAATCTGAGGTTTAACAATTAAATGTGATTGTGCAAGCTCTAAGCCAAAAACTTATTACTGCTTGCATTAGGAAATGTTCTTTATATGAAAGGAGCTAACAATGCGTCTATAAAGGTTTTTATTTTAAATCTCTAATGATAATTAAATTTATAAAATTCTTTAATATTTTTTTAACTTTCTTGTTAACTGGATTAAATTATTCCTTTGGTTTCATTAGTCACAATTTTTGTTATTATCGGATGAAAGACAAAGTGAAGAAAAGTAAAAAGAAAAGCATAATTGTCAAAATTTTCCGATGCATATAGAATTCATGCTGCAGACAGAAGATATAAAAAAGGCGATTTACAATTTGTTTTTTATTTAACTAACCGACTAGCAAAAAGCAATTAAACTTAATCTACTCCGAATCATAAACAACATAATTGTCATAATTGGTTAAGCCGCCGCATAACAAGTCGGATAACCGACGTATTGTCTGTGTTATCAGCAATAAAAAAAAAAAAAAAAAAAAAAAAACAAATGCTCACATGCTTTCTCAAATTGACAAGAAGCTAATTGCACGTCCCGTTTGCTTTTGGTTTGGTTCCTGGTCCCCCTCCATTTATAATTGGTTTTTAATGACAGGATCTTAAATGAGTGTGTGTGTGTGTGTGTATGTGCTATCAGTACTCACCTCCATACATGACAAACAGCGTTATCTTCAGCATAATCAAATTGGGATTAATGCCGTGTCGCTGGCAGAATTCACCAAAGTGCGACAATTCAACTTTCTCGGTGCGGGTGGCCTCGGTGACCGTCTCCTCGCTGGCCATTTTCACCATACTTCAATTTAACCACACGCACACACGCGCGCCGATACTCTAACAAAGTTGCCTGGCTCTCGGTTTGAAGTTCGTCTCAATGAAATGCAGCGACGCCGACGTCTGACGCTGCCTGCGTCTCAGTCTGAGTTTCTCGGTCAGACGGCACTGGGACACACAAACACAGGCGCAGGTACCCAAAGCTCACACATGCAGCACACTAATACACTAAAACGCGCTCAAAGTTAATAGGCTCGCGTGTGCGAGTGTGTGTGTGTGTGTGTGTGTGTGTGTGTGACAGAGTTTTCTTATGATTTTGATTAAATCCAATTGAAACTTGAGATAATAAACGTCGCACAAAGTTGTTCTTGCTTTTACTTTTGATATTTGAATGTATGTATATATGTTGTTTTTTTTTTCGAAATTTGCGCTTTACTTTTTACATTTTGTCTCACTGTAAAATTCAACACTAGTTAGCAATTTTCACACATTTAAATCAAGCTTAATTGCACTTCATTTAATTATTAATATTGTTTCATTGGCAACCTTTCAAGGTGTTCCCCGGATTGCACTCGAACCACCTCTATTGCCTGTTGCATGGCGTATACTCGTTCAAGATTCTGTGGCACTCGCTGCAACAAGCTTCAGGTGAATTGTGCTCGGACTTTTCGCAGCGCGTTTTCTAACTTTCACAGTCGCCGTTCGCACCGAGACTGAGACTGAGCGATCTCTTATCGAGCCAGCCATAGATCTGTGCATGCACTATGCTTAGTATATATCTTTGCAATCTCCAGACCCCAATCTAGGCAGGCTTGAACGAAGAGCAGACGACGACGATGAGATTCTAACTTAAATTGGAGCAGTTGCCGTATTAGTGACAGCTCATGAGATACTCTGCCGCTCTCTGATGATGTTTTTGTTGATGCGAACACGACAGATGAGATCCCAAAAGATAATGTCGCTTCTGTGTTCTTGTTTTTTTTTTTTTTTTTTTTTTATGAGCTACGACTGACGTGTGCAACAATGTCAAACAGAGTGACATGCCGCCAGCAGAGAGATTATGGATAGGCCAAGGTTTACCTGGAGGTGTGATGGCAGTAACTTTACAGTTCGGAATTTGCCTCTTAACTAGGAGCTGGCAGTTCAACAGAGCCCAGGCATGTGGTACGTATGGGCTTCTTGAGATATTAACCAGATATTGACAATGAAACAATGATAGCTAATGCATTAGTGTAATTTTCTTTACCCATAAGGTTGAATTATGCAAGTTTTGATTGGTATCTCTTATAGAAGATTTTTAAGTAACAAAATTATAAATAAAATGTGTGCTAATTGCTTTTCACTTTACACTTTTAGTTTTTCACTCCTTACGTGATAACAATGCTAATGCTCATCAGCCGTATTCATAGGCCTCTTCGAGAGCTGACAAGGATTCCAAAAGCTGATTTTGAACTGGCGTTTGGCGAATCGCAATCTTTGCACACGATAATTGCCGCTGAGCCGAACAAGTTTTAGTCATTTCGTTGAAAAGCCGTTCACAATAGAAAAACACGCAGCGTCCTCCTGCCGAGCTGTAGAAAATGGAAAACTCAACTGTGCCCAGCCAATTATGCGACCGTGACCATAACCATTGACACTTACAGAAAACAGTCGCAACAACAACAACAAGATTACAATTGGATGATATATCGAAATGCTCGCATTGATTGATAGGCGCGGCAGGTGTTTATCAGTCTGATCGACTATTGCCGCCTGGTAACACGACCACGTGCTCATGCTCAACTATATAAGTCTGATTAGTTCAAAAGCTCCCAGGTTGCCTTATGTGCATGCCACTTAAGGCATAACATGCATGTTATCTTTAACATCTAGATAATAATTAATAAAGTTGTCTTCGTTTTTTAATAAGGACCTACAGAACCATGATACTTATATTTATTTAATTGACATCTTGATTCTTCACTTTATGACAAGAATCCACTTAAGCTGATCAAAGATAAGCTGGGTTCAATGTAATCAATGTGCATGCCCCTTAAGTCATAACATGCATGTTATCTTTAACATCTAGGTTTTTAGAAAGGATATACAGAACAATGATGTAAGATTAACTTCCTAATACTTATTAGTTTTCACTTCTTCATTCCTTAATTTATGAATGTAATCCACTAAAGATGATTAAAGATAAATGTATTCAATCTGTATGCCCCTTAAGTCATAACATGCATGTTATCTTTAACATCTAGGTTTTTTAGAAAGAATCTACAGAGGGTTGACCTTCTAATTCGTATTAATATTGACCTCTTGATCCTTTCATTTTTGAAAATTATCAACTAAGGATGAACAAAGATAAGCTGGGTTCAATGTATTCCGTTTCGCGCCGCATAACCTTTACGCACTGCCCGATGCTCTGTCAGCCCTTAATGATGGCATCATAAAACCCCTCGAACAGAACGTAGACAGGAGCTATCTTTGATTACACGATGTATTTTTAGCGACCCCTATAAAATGTGTATATAGTATAGAATATGATTTACGGGCATAAGGCAAACACACATTGTAAAACGCCATACGTAAGCAAATTTAACTAGAGACGGACTGTTATCACGATCATTTTCGTTATCATTATCAGATAAAACCAGGTAGATGAGCAAGATGCTGCAGAAGCCCCAGATCACATTAGTTGGATTCACTTCAAAAGTATTACGCAAAAAAGTCAAACAGGAAAATTGCAGATAGACTTTGCTTTCGAGCTTAAAGAGCTCTAAATATATCTGCAGCTATTATAAAATGTGAGAAAATAAAAATATACACTAGCATATGGCTCTTTCTCGAGGCAGATACTATCCCTCCATTTCCAAGCAAACTAAGTTGTTTCGTAGTTCTACTTCGATTTAGATTCTTAAGATGTCACTGCACAGTCGAACTAATCCCCGCCACTTTCCCTTTCAAGTAGGGACAAAGTAGTACACTCTGACCGTTACATATTCTTAATTCAAATACAGAAACTCTTAATGTTTCAATTCATTCAAATTTGAATTTAGCGCTCTTGTTAAATGCGCCAGCTGAGTTAACAGGTCTAAGAATGCGTTAACAGCAACGCAAAATTGCTCAACAGTCGAATACATGTTAGACTTCGAAATGAGCAAGTTTTTCAAAAATCAGATGTTTTTTGTTTATATTTTGATTGGCTTGGCTTGGAAATTTGGGATATATGCCATTTAAGAACGTAAGAGATATCCTATTGGAAATAAAGGCAAACAAAGATATTCAAGAATCCATTTGCATTTATAATTATAATTAGATATTTGCTTTACATTGTCTTACAAACATTTATAGCAATATGGTGGCAACATCTGATATAATTTGTATTTATTTTTCCCCAAATATAGTAAATATCGCTTATCCATTATATTAATTTTTATTGCATGTAAATTAACAGTTTGGTTTTGGAGAAAATCGAATTTGTTTCATGTAACACAAAATGTAAGCAAACAGAAAAAAAGGTGGCAATATCTATTTTAACATTGTTTTAAAAATTAACAAGGTGGCAACACTTGCGCATGTTTGCTCACATTTCAAAATGAATTCCCGAGAAGTTGACACGTTTTTGGCGATGCAGGCACAATTATGCACTTTGCTGCAACAGAGGCACATTTTGCAAGGGCAAGAGCAGCTGCCTCATTGGCATCAACAGACTTACAAAAGCAAAAACTATCTTCAAAAAGCCAAACATAACCAGGAGCTACATCAGGAAATAGCTTCATTAAAAAATAGGATAAACCAGCAACAACAGCAAATGAAAACAATGCAGGCGCGTATGAAAAAAATGGAACAGAATATAAGCCGACTGACTGCCATCTTAGCCGATGCAGCATCTGCAGCCTCCGAAGCCGTCGATTCCATGGATGCAGCTCCGTTTAAGTTTTGGAATGGAACATCAGGAGCATTTAATTGATGTCTTAGAATAAAATCATTAAACACTTTTCTTCTATTACACTGACATGGCGTCTTTTTTTTACCCGCAAGTTGTGCGAATAATGTCAATGCTCATATAAAAAAGTGCTGCATAAAAAATGGATGCCACGGCGCAGAAAATGCGCAATACTTCCCCATGCATACATACATGTACACACATACATAAATAAAGAGCACCGTTATTTTAGCCCGTGCCAGCTGAGAATACTTACCTAAGACAACATAAACACAACAAGTTGTAACTGTAAGGCATTTTTGATCATGGCGATGAAATATTCCGTTCGTTTTTTAACACAGTTATGTTAGTTTCCATTCGGTGTCAACAGGTGGTGCACGAGACGCTGCAGAAGAGTCTTTGGTGCTACAACAATAGTTAAATAATTTTATATAGAAACCATAATTTCTTGGTCAACTGCAGTGATGTTAATAGTTTTACTATACTTTCCATAGTACATGCAAAGACAATATAAACAATGTTTATATTGTCTTTGGTACACGGCACTGGGTCTCTTCTTTATTCGATTCATATCCCTATATGTCAAATTTTAACATCTGTTTACAGCGGGAGATTTAGAATTGAATATTAAATTCATATCGATCAGATAGGTATCAAATTTTTCCTTTTTGGTAACAAAAAACATAAGGCGCCATCTATCGTTTCAAATACTCATTTTGCGCTTCGTGCTTGCTTTCGGAAACGCGAATGCTGTTTATATACTTCAGCTTTTGTCAGATGTCGTTGAGTGCGTTTTTAGCAAAGAACAATACCATAAATTTAAAAATCACATAATAATATGAAAAAAAACTTAGTTACTTAAAATATGCGCTATCAGGCTTGTGTCTGTACCATAAATTTCAAGATATACAGCTTTAATGCAATCTCAGTCGATTACCTTTGAATAATATTGGGTATTTTAGAAGTTCGAAACGACTTTGAATTGTATTTATTTTGTCCAAACAGTAATTGCCTAAAAAATACCAAGATACCATATTTTGCTTTGCGGTATTTTTCAATTTGCTCGATGGGGTCATATTTGGTTTGTTTTCGAACTTGTTGTTGTTTTGACGCCGAAGAATCAGCACGTCGGGACGCGGTTGTTACAAAAAAAATTAATTAATTACGAGAAAAAGTGTGTGCACAGGCGACAAAACGCAAGATAAGAGCCCATTAAGCATTATCTAAGCATGGAAAGTAAGCACAACCCCGAGATTAGGTAGAAAGCAAATCAAAATAAAGTCTGTAAAAAAAGCTGCAACTGAAGCCATCCGCCAGTCGCCGCGTGCAAAAAAAGAAAATACAAAATTACAAAGAAGAAGAAGAAGCGTAGAGAAGCAAAGTGCCAGGTGCCAGCGTCCGCATCGTTTGTTTGTCTCTCGTGTGTCTGCGCTTCGTGTCGTCTGTGTGTGTGTGTGCTTGTATGAGAGTGTTTGATAGTGGAAGCCTTTGCACGTGTGTGTGTGTGTGAGCTCTTGTTGTAAGTGCACCTGCCTGCCTTGGAGAACTTACACACCCCGCGCCCGCAATAGCACAGACGAGACTGCAACATCAACAAGAAATTTCGCTGACCAGCGCCGCGTGTGT